ACCACCAAGGTCTCATACATGTCGTTGTGTACATAAAAGAACCCTTGACAGTTAAAATTTTATGAATAGTAAGTGTAAACGCTTCATTCCAGCCAAAAATTTCTCTCATAGCACAATATATGCATGTTTTCAGGTCCTTTGAATTTTAAAACCAAAAGTAATCGTAAGTCTGTTCAGTTCCTCGAGGGTCATGAAGAACAAGAATTTACAGTCATTTCACCAGAATTATCGTCAAGTAATGAAACCAGAGATGATTTTGAAACTTCAGCTGATTACGATTTCCATGTCTCTAGGACAGATTCTTCTCCAACCTCAACCCAAAACCAGAACCAGACCCAAAGCCCATCTTATTCTACTCCAGTATCAAGTAGTAAAACCGCATTGTCAGAAGATCAAGCTGAAGTGGAAGAGTTTAGGGATCACGTTAAGCGTGTCCACCAAGCTTTAAATTCCTTCAATGACAATTATGATTTTTAGTCTGTTGTTACTTCAGCATGGTCTGATTCTTCAGCCCTGCATAAAGTGAAAAGGTGTTCATCAAGCCATCAATTCCTTCAATGAAAATTATGATATTTAGCCATTTCTTGCTCCAACATGGACTGATTCTTCAGTCCTGCTGTGTTCATCAAGCCTCCAATTCATTCAATTAAAATTACAGTTATTGTCTTTTGTTGCTTCAGCATTGACTGATTCATGAGCCCTGCATGAGCTGCATTCAAGTAATGTGCTGACATTGGGTATTGGAAGATCTTGATAAAAAAATAATAATGGAAAAAGTCACATTTGTTTGTTATTATGAAAACTATTGTTATTACTTTATTTACATTATGTACAAATCAATGGAAACTAATTTCTTTTTTAAATGGCCATTATTTAATTTTGAAGTCATTAAGTTTAATCAATTTTAATGTATCTTTTTTAGTGATCATACTTTTAATTATGTTCATTTGATTTTTATCTTTGCTTCTTTCACCTTTAAGTGGAGGCACAGTGGGTTACTAATCAGCAGGTTCCGGGTAGGATCAAGGTTTTGTCGGAGAAAATTACTCAGAAGAATTTTCCAGTGTGGTTTCCCTTTGTCTGGTGCAGGATGAAGGGCCTGGCATGGAACACTGTCTAGTCATTTGGGGATACGAAAAACTGTTGGTATGCATGTTAAAAACTTTGGCAGTTTTGGAAATGTGGCTGTCTGGGCAAAATTCACCCATTGCACAATATTTGGGGTCTCCATTGGCCTGGTATGAGCAGAAAAATAAAACCCCATTTCATTTTAATCTGGAAGCTTTCAAAGAACAGAAGCATCATTTTGTATCCAACTGTTCATGGTCCCACTAATCTGAGGCTGTATTCGGGCTGCCTATTAAATCATTGTTCAAATTTGTTACTTTTAAATTGTTAGATTTTGTTAAAATATTGAATTATTGTTGTTTTTGTTATCAGAATTTATTATATTTAATGTTATGGTATTAGATAATATTTTTTTTAAATGAATATCTTGAAAATAAATTTTAAGAATTAAAATAAATTTTATTGTTATAGTTGCTGCAGTATTGTGCAGAAGTTGGTGCTGGGGGTGGGGGTGCAACTTCTTGATTATATGCTTCCAAGACTCGAGTTTATGGCCTATTGTACTCAGAAATATGGGGTTATATTGGTCAAACAGGACAATTTCAAATTTCAAAAAACGTTGATTGATTGGATAACCCCTAAAAGAAATGCACAGGGCCATCACCGCTTCTGCCTCTGTCTCTGTATGGCACTGCGTTTCTGTATTTTCGTTGTTTATAAATTATGCTTGTAATAATGTGGCCAAACCAACACAGCAGGTATTTAATTGACTAGAAGCTTAAGTCCGGAAATCATTAAATAGATAGTATTACTACACTGTTGGTAATTAAGCAAGCCCGCAGCCAGAGTCCGGACCTAGGGGGTAGGGGTTGGGGGGGGGGCAAAAACAAGGAAGTCGATGGGGGGGGGGGGGGCAACACCCTACACAATAGATAGCGGTATGGAAATAACACTGGAGAGAGGGAAGGGGCCTTGGGGTGCCCCTGCTTCAATATTTTGAAAAGTAGATAGCCTTCAATTTTTGGACTTTGAGAGAGACTAATCTAACATTACTACAAAATCTAACCACAGAATCATTTCTTCGAGTTGTGACGTGTACAAGTATGCCATCTGATTTCAAATGTATGGATTGTAGACAATATATGTGTAAAATGTGTAAACAAGTGCATGATAAGTTATCGGTGTGTAGGGACCATGTTGTAGTTGAAGCCGTTGATGCGAAGAGCAGATTGAAGGGAAATGGAAATGATTCAATAAAACAGAGATTTTCGCCGATTCCTAAAGACATGTCCAGACAATAAAGGAATATTGCAACGATTGGCTAATACCGATGTCCATGAGATTGTTCCTCTCCAATCATAACGGACATGCCTTTTTAGATTTACAAGATATCGGCGTGCATGTTGAAAGAAGATATTGGAAGGTATATGGAAAAACTTAAACATCATGCTGTTTCACTGAGGAAGAAATTATCAGAATTGACACAAATGACTAAATCTGCTTGAAATAACGTTGATCTGCAAGTTAGAAAGATTTGCCCCGAGGCACAGAAGCTTGGACGGATTATGAAAAACAAAATGTTGATTATCAATCAGGAAGAAAATCGGAAATTTTCAAAACTGATTGAAGACAACGAACAATTGATCGATGACCTTAAAGCAAGTGTGGAATTTTCAGCAAATGTTTTAGTTGATAGGTCCATTATTGTAACATTTTCACATGGCTATAACATTTTCATTTTTATTACATTTTCACATTGCTATAACATTTTCACGCTGTTATAAAATTTTACATTGTTATAATATTTTCACTCTGTTCTGGCATTTTAACATTGTTATAACATTTTCACACTGTTATAACACTGTTATAGCATTTTTACACTGTTATAACATTTTTACATTAGATTTTCACATTGTTATAACTTTTTTATTGATATAGCATTTTCACAATGTTATAACATTTTCACATTGTTATTGTATTTTAATATTTAATAATAACATTTTAACAATGTTATTACATTTTAACTGTTGTAACAATTTCATATTGCTGACTCATCAGTGTGTTAACAGTTTCGCATTGCTGTAATAGTTCCACTGTGCTATAATATTCAAAGGTGTTGGGACCCACAGTGGAGCATAGAGTAAGATACTGGCCGAAAACTTCCTCGTGATTTTTCATCATGGTTTCAGTGGTGCCGAACATAGAAGTGACAGGCAAGAGCATCTAATCGTCCGAATGAGACGACAGCCCATAGCCCTGTGTTGGCATGAAAGAACACTTAATATTTGGAATTCGATGAAGAGTAGACAGGAACCTCGCATAATTTCCCTCGTAGCACACTGCATGGCGTCTTCGTTACACTTTCACTCATAGCACACTGCATGGCGTCATCGGTACAATTTCACCCATAGCACACTGCATGACTTTATCGGTACAATTTCACTCATAGCACACTGCATGACGTTATCGGTACAATTTCACTCATAGCACACTGCATGGCGTTATCGGTACAATTTCACTCATAGCACACTGCATGACGTTATCGACACAATTTCACTCATAGCCTACAGCATGGCGTCATCGGTACAATTTCACTCGTAGTACATTGCATGATGTTTGGTACACGATAGGAAAATAATATCTAAATGATATCATATCATCTTTGACACGTGGCGGGATTAATTACACCCGTACCATGCCAGCTGTCACTTGTGACATGATAGTTGATTCATGTAATGTATGTTGTCTTATATAGCAATTTGTACAGAAAGCTAATCTAGCATTACGTAATACCCAGCGGTGTAGTCATATTGACATCTGACAAGGGTCAAGGGTATAAAGAAGAGATCGGGAAGTTAGTTAGTAAGTTAAGTTGGGACCATGCAGGTCCCAATTTAAGACCAGAACTCAATGTGAGTTAGTATGGAATAGCATAGTCCAGGCCAGAGCATCTAAGTTAGCACTCAAGGCCAGCTAGCAAAGAAGTCATTAAATAAGGAGTCTTTGTACATTATATGTTTAGATGAATAACAAAAGTATCATATGAAGTAAAACCAGTGTTGTCGTCATAAACCGGAAGAACCAAAACTGTATAACACGTTATCGGCACAATTTTATTCATAGCATTCCATGGCGTCATCGATACAATTTCACTCATAGCACGCTGCATGGCGTCATCGGTACAATTTCATTCATAGCACACTGCATGATGTCATCGGTACAATTTTACTCATAGTACACTGCATGGCGTCATCCGTACAATTTCACTCATTGCACACAGCATGGCGTTATCGACACAATTTCACTCATAGCACACAGCATGGCTTTCTCGGCGGATTACCCATGGCTCACGTGGGGTGCCCGAGGTTTAGGGGCTCCTTAGACAGTTAAAATACAGATTTACTGCAAAAATTATATAAATGTATTAGTTAAAAAGAGATTTAACTAAAATATATCCAACTATGTTTATTTTTCGTTTTATTTATATTATATTTTGATTTACATATTTCAATTATCGTATTTGCGCTTGTGTGGTATTATATCATTTTGAACCGAATGAGCCTAGTGAATCTACAATTTTGGCATTGTTGAACATTGAAGGGATTTTACTCAGGAATTGGATTTTCCGGACGGCACATACACAACTATACTTGAAGTTTACTCAAGAACAATTTGATATTTGACATTTTGCTAACCATGGAGCATTCGGTGATTAGAGATTGTACATTTTAGTTTAATCTGCATTATGCATTGACATCAACAAATACTGAATAATATGTATGTATTTATATAATTCAATTTTCATATAAACTTAACCGAATTTCTTTTTGGGGGCGGGGGGTGGCTAGGGTCCCCCTATTTACATGTTTGCGCCAGAGCTCCGTCCTAATCCGGCACTGCATGGTACAAGTTGGTGCAGAAAAATAGGATGATAAACCTCATTTCATTTTATTTCCATTTCCATAGAAAAAACATTTAACAGATGTGCATCTACATATAATTAACGACCGTATATTTATAGTTTTTGCATGATACAATAAACAAAGATTATATTAATATTTAAATTAGTTTGAGTATATGTGAATATAAGATTATATCGTTAGATACAGATGACCGTTTTCAATTTCAATGTCCGACAAAATGATGCATGAATATTATTCTTTCGTGGCTATCCTGCGCTTATTTCGGTACGGGTGGGGGCGGGGGAAGCTTCCGTCGTTTTTCTTCAAAGATCTGTGATTGGCGGGCTGTTGGGAAGAGTCTGGATTTCCTCATGGGTAATGGTCTGTTGCCATTCTGTCCTGTACTAGTTTCTGAGCGTTGACTTGGCCCTAGACGGAGATGAAAGGAAACTAAAGTTTGCATTAAGGTTTCTGTGTTTTCGATATCGTCGGCACTTGGTGTGGGTGGTGGTGGTGGGAGGCTTGCTCTCTTTATTGATAAATATCGCGATCTCCTCAAACTGGAAGCTCCCCCATCACCTGTTTTTTGAGTGGTCATCTGCTTTCTTAAACAAACCTGTTCCTTATGTGCACCGGACCCATCGTCAGTGTCCACTTCATTCCTTCGCTCTTCCGAAATCTGACAATTATCACCTGAGTTGGTCACATTAGTCTCTCTGAATTTTAAATCAGACCTCTGTGATGTTCTACGAGCGGATTTCCTGAGTACCACCTCAGGGTATTCATCAGCATCATCCATAATTGACGCAAAGAGATACTTCACTAGTTTGGTCTTAGGTTGTTAACAATAAATGTCTTATCTTGTAAACTGGAACAGCTGGATCAACTGGTGTTCATCTCATCTCAGCTTTTTTCTACTAAAATAGAAAAATAAAAACGATAGTAACATCCACAACTGAAGTCCTGCAGGTCGAAGTACCGTAAATAAGACATGATTTGCATATAATCAGGTTTAAACTCGTATTAAGGTAAATAAAGATCAATTGAGTACAATTCTCAGGTTTAAGCTGGCAATAACGTAATATACAAGTTTGCTGAGCAAAGTTTAAGCTCGTAATAACGTATATACATGATGAGTTGACTACGATACTTAAGTGTAACTCATAATAAAGTAAATACAAGATTGGCTGAGTGCTATACTCATGTTTAACCTCTTAATAACGTAAATACAAGATTATCTGAGTGCTTTACTCATGTTTAAGCGCTTGATAACGTAAATACAAGATTAGCTGTCATGAGTGCTATTACTCATGTTTGAGCTCTTAATAACGTAAATACAAGATGGTTTGAGTATTATACTCATGTTTAGGATCGCTAGAACGTAAATACAATATGAGTGAAGTTAAGGCTCGTAATAAGTACACGGGCCTAAAACATGTGTTGAGTTCGATACACACGATTACCGTGAATAAGGCACGATTCGAGTTGTATTTTGAAGTGAAGAGACCCTTTATTATCTCATTAAATAAGACATGACTCGAAGGCTGCGTAACCAACACCCATATTATATATAATGTAACACATGTAATATCAAAGGAAATGCCCTTACGCTTAGTGGAAATCCAAATAAATTTAAAAATCATAAAATATATCTCACCCTAAACAGTTCCAGCCATCTTCCTCTTTGCTAATGTCATTAGATTTGTCATTAGTAACAGTGAATATAGCTCAGTATTTTTGGCAATGTCTTCCTCCCTTTATATTATATTATCATAAATCGTGAATTTGGCAGTGGCCACCGGCTCATTTCATTGTTGTTCGCTAGAAAAGTTTGGAAACTAGTCATTACACAAGAATGTGTATTGTTGTGATATAAAGCATTGCATTTCTTTTTACGTTACTTTACTCGGAGAATATGTCTTGTCTAATATTGTGTCATGTTCCTACACCATTTGTTCTGTCTGTGTCATGATCTGCAGTTCTCCTGTCCAGGCAATATTTCACTCATAGAACACCCAATTTCATTTCACAATACGTCCGTCTTGTCTAATATACTGGTATTTTAAAACTATGATTTGACACAGGTGTGGTTTAAAACTCGTATCCAATGGGCTATAGAGTGTGTGTAGTTATGACTGTGTGATTGTGACTTTGCACGAAGGCCCTGCTCGGAGGGTGTCGTTGTTGTGTACTTGAAAGCGACATGCATCACTACCCGTCAGGCTGTGGGTGAGAGTTATAAATGGATGTGGGTTGGCTGGTCGGTACAGCCGGTCCAGCTAGAAAACGAATATACCTTCCACAGCATTGGAATTATATTGCGTTGAAACAAACTTAATTTTTTAACCCCCTTTTTTTATAATGTAAGGGAATGAGTTACGATTGCTGCTATTGAGACGCGTTCGTACATTTATATAAAGAGACTGTCCCCAAATAAAGTGTAAGTGATAAAGGGAAGTAATCATACTTTAACTGTATCTTTTAAACCAGGGTCAGGTCTAAATATTATGGCCACCTGCAGATTTCGTTATATGGTCACGAGATGTAAACAGGGTTAGGGCACGTGATTGTTGTCAAGGATTGTGGGTTTGGGCTACGGTTGGGGTTAGCGCTGACGAAATCTGCAAGTGGCTTTAATATTTAGAACTATTAACCTAAAAACCAGGGTATTCGTATTCTGAACACCTCGCCGCGGTTTGTTGAAATTGGTAATATCTATTTTCATCCCGGTTGGGGATATTAGATTGGTTCGGGAGTTCCGGCTGTTTTGGGATATTGGACCGACTGGGGAGTTCATTTCCATGGGGACCATTGATCGATCGGGAATGTCGGGTTTTGTTTCCACAAGCGGTCTTGTTCCTTATGCAAAATCAGTAATCACCACGCCCCTGACTCTAATGGCTTACCCTTACACGTGTTGTGTCAATTCGGCTTGTGGGAATTTCCGTCCTGTCAAAATAAACCCTTGGCGTATTAAAATGGATCCTTTTGTTATTCGTGTTTGTATTATGCAACGATATATTATAAATTCAATAGAAATACACAATACGTGGTATTTGAATCATTTCAAAATGTCTTTAGTTCAGCGGTAGAAGATATCATTGTTTACCGGACAGGTGGGGTTTCTGTGCACCAATTCAATTTTGAAATTAGTACACGTCGCCTAACACGCCACATGTGGTCCACCGTTTTTCTCTCAAATATTTGCTTATAATTGTCAAGCCATGTTTAAATTTTTCGTCACAGAACGCTGATTCAAAACACGGATCCTAGCTAGTTATTTCGTTTCGTTTTTTTTATAGTTCCAAATTTCGCTTTACTTGTCATTACTACACCAGATCGGTCTGTATTTGAATCAGATTGATTTGGACTGCAGCGAGTTGTATTTATTTTTCTTTTGAACTACCATAAATTTACAATTTTGGCGAAGGAAAAGTCGGACTTAAACTCTGTTTCATTTCATATTAATTTTTTATTAATCTCTTATTAATCAATACAAAATAAAAACGTATCAAAATATTCAATACAAAATCATTATCAAAAATATGTCTCTAAATAATTTGGACATTGTATAAGGCATTGATTCCCAAATTGGTGTGCACATCTCACAGGGCGCAATTTATATATAAAATGAGCAGTTTGAAAAAAGGGCGCTGTCACAAAATAATTACATCTGAATGAATTGGTGTTTGAAAAAAAAAATAAATGTCGCCTTGCATCAAGCTCAATCACCACGCGAACTGTAATATTACTATGTTGAGTTCTTTTTTTTATTTGTAGAATTTATATTTTATTTTTTATATTATAATTTTTAAAAGTATGATTGGTTGGATTGCCAAAGGTGGACATAAAACGTTTGTAGGTGTTGAAGGGGACATGACCCAGACAAAAGTTGGTAATCACTGTTCTTCCCCGATATAAATTCAATTTGTTTGTAAAATTATTATATAATTCTAAACAGGAAGATCTTTCTCCCCAGGATTAAAGCCTTGATCATTCGAGTATTGAGTCTAGTAACCTGCCATTACAACACAACAGGTTTACCCACAAATGAGAGTTTAGTTATCTCTTCGAATGCCTTTGTCATCCACACAAGAACAGAAGAACTATGGTCTATTGTTCAGTAACATGTCATTGCAACACGACAACTTTACTCAGAAATGAGATTTTAGTTATCTCTTTGAATGTCCGTGTCCTCTACATCGACGCAAGAGAGAGAGAGAGAAATGGGGTTTAACGTCCACTCGACACAAACTAGGTCATTTCGGGACTAACATATGGTTTAATTTTATTTCAATATTTCGCTTGCGCGTAGGGGTATTTAGCAGTGGGAGGAAACCGGAGGACCCGGAGAAAACCCACGAGGTTGGACAGGCGACCCTACTCCTTGCCACGTACAACCGGGGATTCGAAACCACGTCAGTCGACTCAATGACAGACTTTATGATACAGCGCGCGCGCTAACCATTCAGCCATCCAACCCCCCTCGACGCAAGAGACCGTAAGAACTATAGTTTAATGGTTGGGTAATCTGCAACACGACAGCTTTACCCACAAATGAGATTTTAGTTATCTCTTCGAATGCCTTTATCTCTTTCAACCTCACGAGAACCGAAGAACTATAGTCTGTTCAGTAACCTGTCATTGCAACACGACAGCTTTACTCACAAATGCCATTGATATTTATCTCATCGAACGCAACAAGAACAACTATAACCAGTTCATAGTCAAATTAGGATAAATCAAGAATGATTCTTGAATTAAGGCACACATAGCACAGTAAGAAATCCCTCTTCTGCCACCAAACCAAGATATGAATACCGAAGTTCAGCACTGTTATACTTATAATTAAACAGGGTTCGTTTTGGTTTATTCAATGTACAAGATGAGTAACGCCCCCCCCCCCCCACACACACACAAACAGGCACTAATTGTAATGGATCGACGCTCCTGCTTATAAATGATAGGATGAGGTTTATGAGTGATTGACTTTTCATATTAATAATTAAATAGTTTGTATATTGGCAGTTTCCACATCCATTAGGTTTTAATAGAACACTAAAAAATGGGCCTTCGTTTCTCAAGAACAAAACACAATTTTAATGTTACATCTCACTAGGCACAATCAATCAATATTATTGTCCACGTCCATTAATTTTAATCAATATTATTGTCCACGTCCATTAATTTTAATTAGAATACTAAAAATTTAGGCCTTCGTTTCATAAGATTGAATACTAAATTCTAATGTTACATCTCACTATGCATCTTAAGAATATAAAATTCTAAGGTAAAAGCTCACGAAATATGACTTTAAACAGGTTTTGGCTTAGGTGGTAGTTGAGGTTTTTCTTTCAGTGGCTTTTTGATATCTACTGAAGAGTATTTTGGGCGGACTGACGTGGGTGGTCCACGAGGCACCTGCTTGTCCTTGATAGCCGTCAAAGAGCTATCTACAGTCTTGCCGGGTTCAAACAGAGACAGTCGTTCTTTTACTGAAATGCCCCTCCTTGGATTCTTTTCGTCGTCGATTTTGTCATCTGTTGGTTCTTTATCACACAAATGGACATTGGCAGTATCATCCCCATTTTGATTTATAGGTTTAGGTAGTTTAGAATCTGAAGAGTTCTCCTGGTGATTCTGTCGCTGTTGTCGCTGTTTTCGCATCTTCGCAATAAACTCGGAGGTCAGTATTCGAGATCTCTGTTGTGTCTCGTTCACTTCTTGTCGAAGCTCTCCATCTGATAATTTAAGCGGGCTGGCGGAGGAATTGGCTGACGGCTCTTGGAGCTTGACTCTGTTTTGTTGAGCTTGAACCAAGTCGTCGATGAAGCCAGTGGGTAGTTTTGAGTTGATTTTCGGTGTCTGTGATGGTTCTATGTTATGTGAAGACTGTACTTCCAAAATTTCTTTTGGTACCGTGTTTTCTTGATCGTTAGTCACATCTTTATTTATTTGTAGCTCTTCCAATTGCCGGATAATATGGTACAATCGGCATGTCACGGGAGTAAAGTTGACGCCGCTGAACACATTCTTCACTGAGCGGCGGAAGGGAGAAAGCTCTGTAGTTTCAGAACCAGCAGTGTCGGGTAGATCACGAAATCCACAAGGACCGGCTTCTTGGCTTTCTGCAGTTCTTTCTGCATTATTTGTACTTTGTGTATTACCGATATTTGTTGCTTCTGGGGCTATGTTGCTTTGTGGGCTTGCTACATTCTGTGGATGGCTCTCTTCTAGGGATCCATGTTGAGTTGAATCAGTGTTGTCTACAGAACTATCTGTTGAGCTATCCGATGCTATATCCACAGCTTTTGTTCGACTCAAACGGCGCGATCTTGGAAACACTTCCGGAGGAGTAACAGATCGGATTTCATCGTTGCTTTGTACAAGTTTCTTCAATAATTCTCTGAGCACCCACGCTAAAATAGAAAAAAAAACAAATGAAGAGAAAGAGAAAGTATCAGTTTTAGATTTCTCCATTTTACATTTGAGTAATATATAGTTATATGTCAATTAATTAAATATGATTTTACGTCTTAGTAAATAGATCATGTTGATTAGTTCAAGAAAAGTGTTAATTAAAGAGGGATCACAGTGGCTAAGTGGATAAGACGCTGGCTCGCTAGCCGGGAGGTCGGGTGTTCTATCCCTGCATTGGCCGAGAAAGTTCATCCAGATTTTCCGGCGTGGTTCCCTCTTGTCAGTGATGCAGGATGGAGGGCTGGCAAGGGACAGCTGTTTAGTCGTTCGGATGGGACGAAAAACCCAGGTCCCATGTACACATTGACGTGCACGTAAACGATCCTTTGACAGTTGGAATTCGATATAAGAGTAGGCCGTAGTGCCGCTGTCCGGACAAAACTTCCCTCATAACACACTGTATGGCGTATGCCCGTCTTCATTAGCCCAGTTCGGAGCAGAACAGTAGGACATTTCAGTTAATTAAAGAAAAATTAACGTTTAAATCAGCAAATTGATAACATTGTAGTCATTTTTTATCATTGAGTTACTTTTCTATTTAACCAATTTAAAATTAGATTTCGATTTCGTTTTAAACATCCACTGTCGTATAACAGTGGCAACGGTGACTCTATGATTAAGGCGCTGGCTAACTAACCGGTGGTTTTCGGGTTCGATCCCGATGTTGACCGAGAAAGTCCCTTGAGATTTTCCAGCTTGGTTCCCCTTGTGACTGGTGCAGAGCGCATTGCACTACTTACCTATTGGTATATTGGGGAAATCAGATGCAACAATAGTTTCAACAGTCTGGACAATGGATGGCAAATCAGACTCCTCGCAATCTTCTATCAGAAAGTCTATTAGTTGATCAATGGTGTAGACTGGGTTCTCGGTAGGTGCTTCCGGAGAGTTGTGCTGAAAGTATAAACAAAATATCTCATGGATGAGGAACACAGCCGTTGGTATATATACTCTTCAAAAAAAAGTAGGGGATATTCAGAAACAATACAAAACTGCGGAAATGCACTGCTGTTTTTATTAGAAGTAACCAGTGTATGTTAATAACAGGCCAATTGCCTACACAAGAACATAAACAGTTCATATGGGTGGCTTATCTTACGGCCCCATTTCACTCGCAAAGAGATACAATGTCAAAAGTGAAAATGGGCGTTTTTGATTTTTGTCTTAATATGAGTAATTATTATTGCTCCACCAATCCTCAGAAATTCAGCAATTCGTCGTGGGATACTCCTAATCAACCGTCCAATCACGATTTGGAGCTATCTGACCAACTCCTCTTGCTGCCCCAGGGCCAATTCTTGTAGTGTTGTCGGTTGACATTGACGTCGACGAACACGTCTCCCGATCAAATTAAACGTAACGCACTAAAGCAAAGATACGCTAAACAGTAAATCTTATGCAAGAACCGATAGGAAAGCAAACATGGATAGGATAAACCAGTATGCAACAGTTTCCATCAACCCTTCCTTGAAGTGTCAAATTTGACAATGAACCGCTCCCACGTGTATGGCGTTATTGCGTGTCGCACATTCAGCTCAGTGGTTCCGTTTGGGCAATACGTTCTTCATCTGTGAACATACTCTCAAAGCATGACTATTTATCATATCACAACCTGCATAGGTATTTGCATTTCCTACTTTTTTTGAAGAGTATATAATTTGCATATTATCAATGTAGCAAAAACTGATGCAAGTAATCTAAAGGACTTGGCCTCAGATGGTGATATGTGGTCAAATGTAGACAGATTTTCATTTCTCAAAAAGAATCAATGCATCACATTATTGATATTGAATTTACTTTTTATTCATAACTATACCTATATCCAAGCTTGAAAGAAGCTAATATTTCCACTTTCTGGACGAAGCTAGGATGCCAAGATGCAATAATTTCTGGTCATTGTGTTCTTTATACAGTAGATAAATCAAATTTGAAAACTTACTGCCCCCCGCCCCCCCCCCCCCCCCAAACCTCAACACCTCCCCTATACTGGAAAATCCTGGCGTCATGAATTACCTGCAAATGGGTTTTGTATGCATCAACAATACTAGCAAGCTGAAAGTTCTTCTGTAAGCCATCCAAACCTTTGTCATCAAGCTCAATCCTTCGCCGACACTGGGGACATTCGAAAACATTCAGTGGTGGATTTGTTCCAATTATATCTTTAATACAGTCTCGACAGAACGAGTGTAAACATGATAGCTGTAGGGGATTTTCGTAAAACTCAAAACAAATTGGACAGGAGAGTTCCCTCTCCATCTTGGTCACCGAGTCTCTCTGCATCCTGGACATCCTGCCTGGCTATACGATTTACATTCCTCTCTGTTCAACTGTAAAAGAAGATAAGAGAAAGAGAATAACAAGCGTATACATGGCTCACTAATCGGTGGGACCCGGTTTCAATCCTATGTTGACTGAGAAATTTCCTTTTGATATTTCAGCGTTGTTTCCGGCGTCTAGTCGCTCGAATGGGACGTCATACCGAGGTCAAAGTTCGAATTAAAAATGAGATATTCATACGGATGTAATGTGAAGATCGAGATTGAAACCCAAAACAGGAAGGATCTTCTCGGTGCACATTGGGATTTAACCCCTAAACATTCTAGTCCCCTGTCGGCTCGACTACCTCTCTTCGGTGGTGAAACATAATTTTCAATCGACAAGAAAGCTTAAGGTGTGTAATCCTTTATTTGGACTATAATAAAATAACATACATATGAATGTCAAGTGGTGGACCTTCCTCACAGGATATGACAATTACCGTTCATAATTATGAGTTCCGGGTTGAGAAAGTTTAAAGGATGTATGGAGTTTAACGTTCTACTACTTTGGTCCGACTGGGCTAATGAACTAATGAAGACGGGAATACATCATACAGTGAGATATGAGGGACATCTTTCCAGGGCCGCGACGCTACGGCCTACTCTTATATCGAATTCCAACTGCCAAAGGGTATTTTACATGCACGCCAAAGTGTACACGGGAACTCAGTTTTTCGTTCAATCCGAAGGAATATACGTTGTCGCTTACCACGCCCTCTGACAAGTTGAAACCACGTCGTACAAATCCCGATGAACATTCTCGTCCAAAGTTGAGGAAGGAAACGATGTATTATTCGGCTAGTGCTTTCAATTCCATTGGGACATCATCTGCAGGACTTTATATTCTCCATTAAACAATAATAATTAGGAGATAAACACCGACTGTTTAGAATTTAGAGGACTGTTATTGTCTATTTGATACCGCTTAAATCATTAGAGGCCGAGATCGCGTTAAATGATTTTGAACTCCAGCAGTGACTAGGTTCGAAACAAATTGCATATCGTGTTTGATAAATGTCCATACACTCGTGTGACCGTGTAGATAGATGCTGTGTAGCGTACGCATGTGGTTGCTATGCTTGTTTACGTTGTCATTTCGACGCTGTGAATGTGATTGTTTTTCTTCAGAAAAAAAAAATGGCCTATGTATGAAAATTAGCCTCTGTCCTATTCATATCAGTATCAGCCCGACTTGTATATTTTTAAAAATATATTACGATCCATACGGAGTTCAATAAATTGTAGTATTTTTATTCACTTGTTGAAAATCTTCGATTTTGACCAGTCTGATTATGATAGAATGACCATTCCATAGCAACCGTTATTGTCAGACCAGCCTTGAAATTAAATTTACTTATTATGCTTCAAATACACTCACTTTGTTTTTTATGTGTTTCAGGTGAGTGTTTCAATAAGCCAATGGTTGAATTTCATTGTTGATGACATACAAGAAAAAATTCATGAAGATTTCCAAGAATAAAGTTTTGAGGTGTAGAATTTTTGGCCACTGCAAACAGAGTCTAGCACCCAGAAAATATTCATTCGCAGTGAGTTGCCCAGGAAATTTAGAGGACTGTTATACTCATTCGACGCCACTTTTCGACCAATCAGAATTCAAGAAATTTCCATTTTGGGCTACAACAACGTCATGATATTCTGTTTCTATTCTCAACATTTTAATTTTTAAACATATTAAGAACCAATCTGATTAAAATACAGATCTATATTTCGTTTCCTTTTTTATACTTTCGATGGCCTACACTATATGAAGATCTGACTGGTTGTAGTTAAAGGTTGTGTCAGAGGTCGTACGGACGGCTTTATTGACCCTATGACGCCAGACACTGATTGATCAATCAGCGTTGACTTTTCTAGTGGTTTACCCACAGTTCCGTGCATCGCACGGCAAGAAGTCGCCATAACAGATGGTTTCATGGCTAATCCCTCACAAATAAAACGAAATTTTGAACTATAAAAAACGAAACGAAATAGGATCTGTGTTTTAATCAGATTGTCAATTATATATATTTGTAGTCTGGCTGATCAAGCAGATATTCTAGAAGAATGTTGGGACCTAAATGCTCTTCGTGAGAATTTTCATGCAAACAATAACTGGTCCACTTCAAAAATTAAGTTTCTAATTATTCCTAGGATATATCTAAGCAAAAGGAAAGAAGTTCGACGGCTTAGCGAAAACAAATAAACCTCGATAACTCCCGCAACATCTAACGAGAGTTGATAATCGCAATTCAAAGTTGGGTTAAGATTATCCATCTTTGAAGCCCCCCACCCCCGTCTCTCTCTCTCTCTCTCTCTCTCTCTCTCTCTCTCATACGACATTTGACTGGCTACTACCAGCAACGATAGGAATATATCATCCATAATACGCCTGTAGCTGTGTGTATTGTGTACTGGTGTCCTGTGTACTGATGTACTGTACTTCCTAGTAGATGGGTTTTTAGTTGTTGTTTTTTTTTTTTTTATCAAAACAGCAATCAATGGCTATACGAATAAATGTGTGTAAAAACCCAATACAATGATTGAGAAACACATTTACAAAGCAGATTTATACTACGTATGTTTATTTATGTAGGTCATATGCTGATACACAAACCCTATTAGATTCAATCCTTTATGTGTTCTCTACAATTACACAATCTAACTCTTGTTTAAAGGGACAATAACACTCTTGCTGGCTTGAAAGCTCCAGAAACTAAACAATATCTCTATCTAAGTACTAGATGTTTAAGTGTCCTACCTGTTGTGTAAATTATCCATTACATCCTATTTTACTTGTCCAGAGGGTTCGAAGTTTCATTTGAAAAGGTTTACGTTAGACGTTTCAAACCATTATGTTGGATTTTTCAAATTTTTTAAATAAGGTGTGTTAAGATGAAATTTGTATCATCAATTAATTGAAATATTCTAAAATAGTACAATTTGTTGACCAGAATAAAGATTGGGACATATTATTCAGTTACAACAAGAGTGGTATTGAGCCTTTAACAGGTGCGCGTCTTTAGTAATTGTTCAAATACTGTTTTATGCATATTCAAGATTATAAGAAATGTATCTTAATTGTATTCCGCCTATCAACCATTACAAAACTATCATATAACACACACAGGCATACATACATAAATTCACACATATTATCAAAGGGGAGGGGGGGGGGATAACGTCCATTCGACGTAAACTATGTCATTTCGGGACTAACACAATATATGGTTCAATTTTATTTCAATAATTTGCTTGCGCTTAGGTATATTTAGCAGTGGAAGGAAACAGTGCGCTTTAGATAATTGGATCTGTCATTGGGTCAAGTTGTATGGTTTCGTTTCCCAGCTTGTGCGCGGCAAGAAATAGAGTCGCCTGACCCATTTTTATTTTTTATGGCGCCTATTCAGGGGCGGATCCAGAAGGGGGGGGGGTCGACCCCCCCCCCCCCCCAACCATGCTCAACACTTTTTATGAGAAAAGTTTCTCAGCCGTGTGCTTTATGCATTATCGTCAGATGTGGGACAGGATGGGCACTCAAAGCACGAGATAATGATATAGACATTATGTGATATCACAATTAATGATATGCATCCATGAAATTGAATCACAATGTCATTGTATAATAAATATTGACGTCAAACGAGGTGTTGAATTTCTCTGTTTAAAAAGCTCAATGTGTATGTACATACGCCAAAATGACGATAGAGACCCTGCGGGAGGGGGGGATACTGGCAAATCCCCTCCTGCAAAAATTCCTGGATCCACCCCTGCTATTTCTGTTAGCTTGTTAGGTTACTAGCCTTAATCCGGCACTGCATTCAGCGCCAATTTCTTTTAAACCCCCACTCTAAACCCACACACGTCTTTTTGGTAGCAGCTGACGATCAAAATGGCTTAAGAGAGTCAGACATTTCGTAATAATCAGATCGGATGAGATATTTAAAAACAGAGATCAGAATAGGTTCAATTATTTAACAAAATATAAAACTACTAGAGACTGAAAGATTTAGGACAGTTGATGTTCTACCCAATAAAAGCGCGACCACATTTCCTGCACAAAATTGAACGTACTACTGTGGGGACCACAGATCGTAGACCTTGTAAATCGTATTGGCAATTACTACTTGAGGTTTATATTGTAGGCCTATTAAAGTAAAGGTGTTTATTTGCACTAAACAAATAAATGCTGAATGGGGCTATACTGAATTTCTTGAAGAACCACGCCCATGAAGTTAAACCATACATATACTATAACGGTAATCTACAATTTTTTTTTAATCTCACATACCTTCATATTTATTAAATAAAGTGTTTGAAAACTCTAATTCTTAAATTAGTTGGTAACCAAAATAAAGTTTGTTTACAGTAAGCGACTTTATCGGCAGATAAATAATGGACAGTACGTACCGGGGCTTAAACCGTTATGCGAGGTTCCCACTGTACTGTCGTGCGATGCGTTACGATAGGATTGTCCACGATCTGGTACGTGCAGATACGTTCGGATACGTTTCAATACGATCACCACGACTGCTACGACTGACCTCAATATATGATAAATCCTGATAGAATCACCACGATTACTCACCGCTTAAAACCACGATTGATTTCAGTCGTAGCGCGAGTGTGATAGCGACCAGAAAATGCACAAGGTTAACGGCAAACGTGGACACAACGCGAGAAAATGTCCCCAAAAATTACAAACTTGAAAAAAATCGCGTTCTTACAGCTTTCCAGGTCAGATCGTAGAACCTTGGCGTTTGATTTGAACATGCTCAAAACAACTTATACTGTTCTACAATTACTTATACTCAATTATACAGCTTACCTTGCTACCAAATACTATAATATCACCATACTGCTCTACAATTACTTATACTCAATTATACAACTTACCTTGCTACTAAATACTATAATATCACCATACTGCTCTACAATTACTTATACTCAATTATACAACTTACCTTGCTACCATGCAATACTATAATATCACTATACTGCTCTACAATTACTTATACTCAATTATACAACTTACCTTGCTACTAAATACTATATAACCATACTGTTAACAGTTGGCTTTGATCTTTAGTTCTACAATTACTTATATTTAGTCATGGGTCTATTTATGGATAGCTTTACTATGATTTATTAATAGCACTTGATATACTGTCATTCACAACTTGATAGGCTACTTTATAACTTATATCTATGAATGCCTTTAGGTCATATTCAAGTACTTACACAATCCATGTGTTTATTTCGATGTGATAAAGCAGTAAACATTTACATAGTACGTAAATAGTAAATAGGCAGAACTATACTGTTCCCACATATCAAATAGTCCATGACGTCTAAATTCTTGTTATGATCGGCTTGTTTCTGGCTTAATAGTTGCATATCACCTATTTGTCTTTTGCCCCCCCCCCCCCCCCCAACACACACACACCGTGACAAGACGTCTTCTAAATACAGATACGCAGTAGTGTATTAATATGTTATCTAAATCTTAAGTGAACAGAAATTTAGAACAGTTACCCCATAGATCTAAATTTATGTTAAATGTTATGCTGAGCATCTCCTTAGCCCTGTTACATACGTCTTAATTTATGTATACATGTATTTATATATCAATAAATATATTTGAATATTCTAATATATTCTATTGGTATATATTCTAGTCATGTTTATTTTCTTTCTTTTTGTTGTGAGCGTACTTTATAAATTACATTATAAGATCGGATTCTATTGCATTAGGTATTTTCGATTTAGGCCTCTTTACGCATCGCCTTTGAATCAGTAGTGAACAGTGCAGCGTTTATTTATGTTTATGTATGTTTGTTCTAATGTGATTTTTTTTCTTTCATTTTATAATTGTATGCTGCTCCCCGTGAGCGCTTTTATGCAATACACTTACTAACTTACTTAATTAGTGTATTATATAATATGCTATCTATAATGCAGTACAGTAACCCTAGACTATTCTTCTTGTTATGATCAGTTTGTCCCTATTTTACTTTGTACACCGCGAAAAGATGTTTTATATATAGAGATACTTATAATCTATAATTTAGTAATATGTTATTCTATATTAAAAAAAAAATCAAAGACGTCTGTGCGTGGGTGGGTGTCCGCCAATCACGCTTCTCCGCCGCGATCCACCCCCACGTCCATGGGGGAAACAATTCAAAATATGAAATTAATTACGACGATCAACGATCACTTTCCTTACGGATGTATGGTTGTTATTTGTTATTGATTATTGTTTGATAAAGATACCTGTAAGAGTATTGAAACGTTGCATGTAATAAACTAAGAAGTAGTATATCCATAAAGTTGTGTTATTATGAATATTATACAATCTGATTAAAATACAGATCGATATTTCGTTTCGTTTTTTTTATACTTTCGATGGCCTACACAACATAAAGATATGACTGGAAGGTCGTGTCAGGGGGCGTACGGGCGGCTTTTGACCCTATGACTCAGACGTTGACGTTTCTAGTGGTTTACCTACAGTTCCGTGCATGGCACGCCAAGAAGTCACCGTTTCATTGGCTAATCCCTCACCTCAACCAAAACGCCGGTAATATAACAACTCTTCCAGTGTAGTAAAGACAAGTAAAACGAAATTTTGAACTACAAAAAACGAAACGAAATAGGATTTTAATCAGATTGAATAATATATCTCTACTTTTAAATGTCATTCAAGGATATTAGTAATATGTTGTCTAAATAGTAATTGAATAGAAATCTAGTACCTATCCTTAAAACGGTCAATCCATGAAGTGTTGATTTCTCGATATGTTCAGTTTGTATCTAGCTCAGGGGCCATGAGCTATGGGGGGGGGGGGGCGGTTTGGACACTTGTCCAGGGTCCCAGAGCATAGAGTGGCCCGTAGGTATGTCGAGTAATATATTTTTTTTTAATTGTTCGTATAAATTGATAAACAAATACACTGGTGGTGTTGGTAGAATTAGAACTGGATTTTTTTTAAGAAATTGGTGAATTAAAAGAATTAAATACTATTAGTCCCCTGTCAGGGTCTTCGCGCCACGGGACCCCGACCAGTCCTCGTTCCGCTTGAAACTCTCATCACTGTCAGGGTATCAGACCCCGCTTCCGTTTGAACCCAGTATTAAATGAATTTGGATATTGAAAAAAATTGGTTCATGAAAAAAAAATATATATTTTTGATATTTTTGGCGTCTAAAAAAATATATATATATATTTTTGATATTTTTGGCGTCTAATAGTCACGGTTTTTGTTTTTCCAATTGTTTGCTTGTTTAAAATTTCCTGCCAAAATCATGAACATCTGATTATTATATTACACCAGTAAAACTAAAACGTAGTACAAGTATTCGGTCAATCTGTTTCAGAGAGAGAGAGAGAGAGAGAGAGAGAGAGAGATGGGGTTTAACGTCCACTCGACACAAACTAGGTCATTTCGGGACTAACATACGGTTTTTTTTATTTATTTTTTTTATTTCTATATTTCGCTTGCGCGTAGGGGTCTTTAGTAGTGGGAGGAAACCGGAGGACCCGGAGAAAACCCACGAGGTTGGACAGGCGACCCTACTCATTGTCACGTACAACCGGGGATTCGAAACCACGCCAGTTGACTCAATGACAGGCTTTATGATACAGCACGCACGTGCTAACCATTCGGCCACCCCCACCCCCACCCCCCTGTTTCATAGAGGATTACGAAAGTCTTCTAATATCTCTGTAACAGATGCCTATTTCAACACGTGACGTCACATCACGCGGCGTCAATCATTGGCTCAATATATAGCGCGTGCATTGTTTACATATACGACGTTACTGATTCGGGCTGAAAAGTGAATTTTACTTATTTTAATACACTAAACAGGAAATGATTTTTACCTACAAACAATTCAAACGTCTTTATTTATTTTTCTAATACATGAAAAAATGTTTTAGAATTTAATTTGACGGGGAAAAAAAGTTAATATTTGGGACTCATTAAGTCGCATCGATGTCATCCTTATCAGCGATTGTAGCGGCCTAGCGAATATTCACTGCTGATCAGTGTGGTATTCGGTATGTCGTGTTAAAGTAGCTTACACGTTGAAAATACGAATTATTTGTCAATTCAAATCAACATTGATCTTGTGATCTTACCAGGAAAAAGTAGGCTTCTGCTATCCAATTTTGAAGACAAAATAAACATTTTACCATTGGTACACGAATCGTGTACCATAGTGCGTTTCAGCGTCATTTGTAACAAGTGACCAGAAAGAACGAGGCGCTAGACATATTCCACAACTCCTGTCAAACGGTGACGTCAAATCTTATCTGGAGAGCATGGGCAATAGACTGGAATAACCAGACGCTAGAAATTGCTATTCGGTTGAGACTCATGTCGTATTTCGCTGACTGATTTGAAATTAGAGTCGTAACGGAAACAATTGAATGTAAATCAGTTTATATACAATCAGATTACATTATTATATGCGTTGCGACCCATTTTGTTCAATTTCTAGGTCTCAAATATTAGCAATTTAGTTCCTTTAAATCTCAGTTTCTGTGTTTAGCAAAGTAACCTCCAGTTACCCCAGATAAACAATGACGCTAGAGACGATAGTCTATGTTTATACGTTTCTTTTAACAGATCTCGAGCCCGGGCGGACAGATTCCCTCCCCACCCCACCCCCACCACCCGACACGACCCATCCCTTTCGTCAAGTTGCTCAAGCCCTGTAGCGGGTCCTAGCCTACTTGTAACCGCGTGCAAAGACGTCTTGTACACAGACACGTCGTAGTGTATTTTAATATAATATGGTATCTAAATATTATGTGAACAGAAATCTAGTACCTTCCATTGAAACAACCAACCCATGAAGTCTAAATTTCCTGTTCTGTTCAGTTTAAACCTTAACTACACATGTAGATACGTCTTAGTGTATTTTAATATGCTATCTAAATATTATTGTTAACATAAATCTTTTACCCACCTTTGAAATAGTCAACCCATGAAGTCTAAATTTCTTATGTTCAGTACGTCTTAGTATATTTTAATATGCTATGTAAATATTACAGAAATTTAGAACCTACCTTTGAAACAGTCAACCCATGAAGTGTAAATTTCTTGTTATGTTCGGCTTTTCCGTAGTCTAATTGTTACATTTCACGAAGACGTCTTCTATTGGTGATGTTAAACTCGAGAATGTGTTTGTGTAAATAAATCCTTGAATTGAACGACGATGTCTAGTCATGCTTTACATCCGGGTGAATCTATATAATATATGTATATATAGGGATGAATTAAATGTGTAGTGACAAGTAGGTCGAGTCTATAGATATATCTATGCTTATCTTGCGTTTATTTATATATCTTTAGTTGTGGTGACGATTAACATTTGAGAGTGATGAAATACAGTGGTGTTTAACGATCTACTACACCATTGTGGCTAATGGAGACGGACATAAAGAGCATATTTCAACGTACCTCTGGATAAAAAAATCCGTCCTTTGAAATCTGAAATCCATGCTTTGTGAACATGCTATATGTAGTCTTGCGAAACTGGCAAGATTGTATGGGGATATTTAGCTATCATTATGATCATCGACCACTTTTTGATTTGATTTGTATTGTATTGTTTTGTATTGTTAACGTATTCCCACCGCCACCTACAGTGCGACAATTGCCTAGCAGAACATCATTAGGTGCAGGTGACAGTAAAGATTCGTTTACTGTTGGATCGACTTCGGATGTTTCGTTGGACTGTTAATGATACTGACACACGCTTATAAATATACATACGTTAATTCTCTTATATTTTGGTTATAAAAGTGTAAGCGTGATATCGTGTTATATGAAGTAAAATTCTGGAAATTTTCACGGAACCCCAAAACATCAAGATACAGAGGTGATATACATCTGTAATGTTTAGTGACGTAACATGCAAGATATGATCTAAACACACCTTCTAAGCAAATATGTAATCTGAAACAAAAATAGACCAACAAATAGTTTCTTTCCGTTTCTAAAAGAAGATATTATATTATAGTATATTTGCTAAGAGAATAAAGAACAAAAAACAGACAAACGTAACCGAATTTCCCCTATGTGCAATCCAGCCCTCGAAATTAACCACGACAAAAACTATTAACCACGACAAATCCGTGGATCGGACACACTAAAATACGACGAAAACATGTCAATATTTAACCAGGTGCAATATTATTATTGAAAAAACCGAAAGATTTAATTAGCTTGAAATATGTAGTTTGTTTTCTTTTCAAACATCTTATTTATTTATATATCACCTGAGAGCTGTTTCCAGAACTATTTATATATCACCTGAGAGCTGTTTCCAGAACTTTTTGTATATATATATATATCCAAAATTATTAGCACAACCGTAAAGCTGCACTACTTTGTTTCACTGTAAACGATGAAAAGATAAAAGGTATGCCGAGACAAACTGATTTCAACACTGGTTTAATAACATTTTAACATTTTCCAGTACTTTTCATCCGTCTTGGCACTATTCATAAATAATGTCATTGTATAAAGATGGACAGTATAGTATATTTATACATATTTACATATTAACACCGTGGTTTTAATTGGCTATAGTTACCATTGTCTATGGTTACATAGTATATCATTAACTAATAGAAAACATGTACACACGTGTGTTAATCTGTAGTATATGGGATCAATTTAGGAACAATGAGTGGAAGATAATCATGGGATAGATTTAATAAAATTAATGAAGCTAATGGCCAATTGTTACTTATTGACTATTAAGTCGAGGAACGTATTTTTAAATAAAATTGGTTTCCATTAATTTCCTTTTCGTTGTGTCATCGACTTTCATTTTATAAAAAAGGAAAATTTGGAATTTTACTTGTAGGTGTTGTGCACATTTAAAGATATGTCTATTTACAAATAAGGGCCCATTTTCAATATTACAATCCCGTCGATGGTTGCGTACTCTATCCCGTAGATGCGTAGAAATTTAGACAAACATTGCAAGTCAAGACATATATGAGATTGTTTGTGTCACAATTCATATTTTCGTTGACACTAAACGTAAACTTATGAAAATTATATTTGTTATTTGGCGTAATATGGTCAAACTATACCAGGAAGACTATGTAGATTTATGTCATGTTATGTATTATATACTTTTAAACATTTTGTTGTACGTTATCTAATATTATTTATAATCCATTGTCATGGAAATCTATTATTCTAAGAATGTATATATGTATCGTATTTGTAATATTTTGTATACATTATTAATATCTGAAGACGCCCATAGAAGGCAGACAGCTAGCTTATATGAATTAATGTATGTCAGAATGAAGTAAAGTGGAGAATTTTTATCTGGACAGATTTTTTTATTTATTTATGTATATATATGTATATATAATTTCCTTTTTGTCTATTCCTTTTTTCTTCTTTGTTTTTCAGTATATTGTAATATTATGTAATTTATTTGTAACCGGGAGAGGGTTTATATAGGCTTTGCCTGTTCCCCAATCCCCCCAGTTTCTGAATAAATATTGTTTATAAAAAAAAAACAGCGGCTGCCAGACAGGATACGCCCACATTTTCGAGAGATGGATAGAGAACAAGCTATAAAGAAAGTGATTTTTCCTACAATCAAGGGCCATAATTCAGAAAATTACAATTCGGTATGCACAAGTATCGAAAGGAACCGAGATCTTTGGGTTATAAACTTACATTTCAGGTTTCAACAAAATCAGATAAAAAATTATGACCTCTATAGGGTCCACAACCTTGATATACCATATTTTTACGCTATTTGAGAACGAAGGGTGGCCATTTTGTCTGTCAGTTTTGGGCCGATTTTCACGAAATTCGAACTCGGTCATCCTTAGGGTGTAACGGTGATACAATAATACGTTTTTTTAAATCGGATAAAAATTATGACCTCTATAGGGTCCACAAGCTAAAAACGCGATTTTTCGTACAATCAGGGGCCATAATTCAGGAAGTTACGTTCCGACATGCGCGAATATCGAAAGGAAAAGAGATCTTTGGGTTATAAACTTACATTTCAAGTTTCATCAAAATAGGATTAAAATTGTGACCTCTATAGGGTCCACAACCTTGATATATCATATTTTTACGCTATTTGAGAACGAAGGGCGGCCATTTCTTCTGTCAGTTTTGGGCAGATTTTCATGAAACAGTGATATGATAAAATGTTTTTTTAAATCGGATAAAAAAAATTATGACCTCTATAGGGTCCACAAGCTAAAAATGTGATTTTTCGTACACTCAGCTACCATAATTCAGGAAGTTACAGTCCGATATGCGCGAATATCGACAGGAACCAAGATCTTTGGGTTATAAACTTACATTTCAAGTTTCAACAAAATCGGATAAAAATTGTGACCTCTATAGGGTCCACAACCTTGATATACCATATTTTTACGCTATTTGAGAACAAAGGGCGGCCATTTTGTCTGTCAGTTTTGGGTCGATTTTCACGGAATCCGAACTCAACCATCCTTAGGGTGTAACGGTGATATAATAATACGTTTTTTTTAAAAATCGGATAACAATTATGACCTCTATAGGGTCCACAAGCTAAAAACGCGATTTTTCGTACAATCAGGGGCCATAATTCTGGAAGTTATGTTCCGATATGCGCGAATATCGAAAGGAACCGAGATCTGTGGGTTATAAACTTACATTTTCAGTTTCAACAAAATCGGATAAAAATTGTGACCTCTATAGGGTCCACTACCTTGATATACCATATTTTTACGCTATTTGAGAACGAAGAGCGGCCATTTTGTTTGTCAGTTTTGGGCCGATTTTCACGAAATTCGAACTCAGCCGTCGTTAGGGCGTAACGGTGATAAAATAATACGGCTGTGTTAATCGGATAAAAATTATGACCTCTATAGGGTCCACAAGCCAAAGAACGCAATTTTTAGTACAATCAGGGGTCATAATTCAGGAAGTTACGTTCCGATATGCACGAATATCGAAAGGAACCGAGATCTATGGGTTATAAGCATACATTTCAAGTTTCAACAAAATCGGATAAGAATTGTGACCTCTCAGTGTTCACAAGCTAAAAAGGTGTTCACAAACAATTGTGGACGGACGGTCGGACGGACAGGGGCGACGACAATATACGTCCACATGAAAATGTAGGCGTATAAAAACCGTGGTGAGGTTACGTCAAACAAAGCAATATTGGCGGCTACTGCAAAATTAAATTTTATTTTCAGTAGCAGGTCACAAAGATTGATCACAAGGAAATCGCTCCGGTGGTCCAGCCTACATAATGCCATTATACAGATCTTGTTCAGAATTATACTAGAACATTGAGATCTTTTCGTCTTTCAGAATCACACTACGGCATTCAGATCTTAACATCGTTATGAATTGCACTAGAACATTCAGATCTGAGTGTTCTAGTGCAATTCTATCTTTCCATCGTTAAGAAGTATCCTTCACGTCGTTCAGAACTACACTAGGACATTCAGATATTTACAGCGTACACAATCACTCTAGAACGGGTGGGGCGAAAAACCGAGGTCCCGTGTACACATTGGCGTGCACGTAAAAGATCCCTTAAGATGGAATTCGATGAAAAAAAAAAAGAGTAGGCGATAGTGCCGCTGTCTGGGCAAAATTTCCCTCATAGCACACTATATGGCGTATGCTCTCTTCATTAGCCCAGTCGGAGCAGAACAGTGGGACGTTAAACCATATACAGAATTACTCTGAAACAGCTTAAACGTACCCCTTTCGTGTTATTTCCGGGCTGTTCAAGTTGGTTTTCGGTAAGTGATAGCGCTTCAAGTTTGATTTGTAATTAATAGCGCTGTGAAATGACCAATTTAATTACATCGGAAGCTGAATAATGATCAAATAATGTCTCGTTGGCAATAAAAACGACGGGAAGTGTTAGAACTAGTGAGTATTGTGAGGTGATAGCAGAAGAAATGTCTTGAAGACGTGTAAACAAAGATGGCGTCTGAAATACCTTTTATATACTATAATATATAGTCAAGCAGTAGTAAGAAATTTTATTTTAATCCATTCAAGTGCCTGTGGTAAGGCTAAAGGGTAAATGTCGTACAGAATGGTCATAGATCACTCTCACCTGTGCCTAATGAAATAACATACCTCGTTAGTAGAATATGTATTCACACTCTTCATCAAATTAAAATTCAAATAAAAATAGTTTGCTCTGTAATATATGTAATGGAAAAACATAAATAGTATGAATATGATGGCTGATTGGTATCACATCGTGATGTCGTGGTGTTGCCCTTCATACGATATTTTTACGCGACATAACGACATTTTTAATGTTGTGGTGTCGGGTGAAAAGGTCATGTTGTCGGGTTAAAATGTCGTGATGTCGGATTGTCGTGGCGTCGGGTGAAAATGTCGTGTTGTCGAGTTCCTTATGAAGAGCGACACCACGACATCACATGGTACCAATCAGCCACCATAGTAAAGTGAACTATTATTATTTGAAGATACATCCCCACGAAAGCATTTATAGGGTAGTTTTTTTTCCGACAAGACTTATTACCCAGTACTACCAAATACTAAATAAATACTACCAAATATCATATCACATACTACATAATTGTGTTGAAAACGAACACAGTGGTTGAATTATACAAAAACAATGCGATAACTGAATTTATTAAAGATGCTTTCCCACAAAAGTATTTATCGGGTAGTTGTTTCCAATAAAAGTATGGCATATTTGTACAAACTAGGAAAATACTGGATTCCCTGCAAGCACATATAAGGATGACTCCAATCTACTCGAGTGACGTAAAGGGTGAGGGGTTCTTCTTATGTTGATCTAATGTGTGGAAACATCGAGAGACTTAAACGTCCTGTAGACTAGGAAAATATCGGATTCTCGGCAAGCACATGTAGGGTTGTCTCCGATCGACAGTTCGTCTACTCGAGTGACGTAATGGGTTCTTCTTATATGGTGAGCTAATGGCTAACTCTGCGATTAAACGACGGAAAAAGATGCTGGTAAAGGATAATCCAAGAATGTACTTAGACTTCGATATTTATGGTAATCCAGGAGGCTTAAATAGATTCTAGCCGCACCAGGTAGTTTTCTTCAGAATGGGGGGGGGGGCTGTATCATAAAGTCTGTCATTGAGTCGACTGGCGTGGTTTTGAATCCCCGGTTGTACGTGACAAGGAGTAGGGTCGCCTGTCCAACCTCGTGGGTTTTCTCCGGGTCCTCCTGTTTCCTCCCACTGCTAAAGACCCATACGCGCAAGCGAATTATGTAAATAAAATTGAACCATATGTTAGTCCCGAAATTACCTAGTTTGTGTCGAGTGGACGTTAAACCCCATTTCTCTCTCTCTCTTCTTCAGAATAAATGTTTTGAGAGAGATTTGAAAAATACTTTTGATAGACAAATTAGTTTGAATATGCTTTTAGTCCAAATCCTCTATCTCTATAAATAAAATCAAAGATGTCTATATGTGTGTGTTCACCCATCATGAATCGTCGCCGAGATCCATATATGTGGTATCAAATTAACCAGCATGTTTTAGGCCATCCAATTTGGGCCCCGGGCGAATTGGGCCTAGACCTGGGGCGAATTGGGCACGGGCTCCCGGTGAATCACACCGCTTCGCCGCCTTCTGTCATATCAAATTAACCAGCATGACCTCGTGAATGTTTTAGGCCATCGAATTTGGGTCCCTGGCAAATTGGTCTCCTAACGAATTTGTACTCCGGGCGATGCCGGTTATCCTCCTAGTATATCAGATGCGAAGACATCTGTAATATGATTAAGAGAGAGAGAAATGGGGTTTAACGTGCACTCGACACAAACTATGTCATTTCGGGACTAACAAAATGGTTCAATTTTATTTAAATACTTCGTTTGCGCGTAGGGAAAACCCACGAGGTTGGACAGGCTATCTACCCCTTGTCACGTGTTAGTCCGAAAGTGGCCTAGTTTGTGTCGAGTGGACGTTAAACCCAATTTCTCTCTCTCTCTCAGCACTGCATGGCGTATGATATCAGTAGAAAAGTAGGACATTATACCCCACTTCATTTTAATTTTCCTGTTTCGTGCGGTTAGCCCATATCAAATCGCTACGCAACAGCAGATATTCAAAGGTCAAGGTCAAGACAGTTGGTGTTTATTATCCATAATGCAATTTCCATGACTGCATTGACGTCACAGTTTTAAAAATAAGATATGTTTGAGGAATAAATAATAATACTTGGTTCCGCTTCATTGTAAAATACAAAAGATAAAATTGGGGATAGACGCTCCTTTTACGTTAGCTCACAAAGGGTTCTGTTTGACGGTCGACCAGGATGTGAAATGGGATACAGATTAATATGGAAATGACACACAAAGCCCCTGACGTCAGCGTCATAAAAAATCGAAGTCCAAAACTTACTGTTAAATGTGATGCAACCCCACCTCCACCCAATCACTCGCTGATAATTCCTTCGAATACCAAAAGTTGTCACTAGATAAGAGAAAACCCCCCCCAAAAAAAACAAAAATAGAAAAAGTCAGTGCATTACTATGTTTTTTTTAAGAGTATAAAATAAATTAAAACAAGGGAATGTACTGGCTATTTCTATTCGTCTCGTTTCCTCTTATCTATTCAATACTTTTTATAAGTTGTCAGATATCCTCTCACGGTCTCTATGTTAAATTATATGTGGAATGGGTTTAACCAGTTCTATCACATATTGGATAATGGCTGACATCAATAATGTCCTTTAAATGGAATACAAATGGGGGTGGACGATTTACCGAAAGTCCATCGGGGTTTTCCAGCGGGGATTCCCCTTGTCAGTGGTGCAGAACGGGGGCCTCACAAGGACATCTGTCAAGTCGTTCGGATGGGACAAAAAATGAGGTCCCGTGTACATATTGGAGTGTACGTAAAAGATCCCTTGGTAGTTGAAATTCGATATAAGAGTAGGCCATAGTACCTCTGCCCGGGCAATATTTTCCCTATAGCACACTGCACGGCGTATGCCCAGTTTACTAGCCCAGATATAAGAGTAGGTCATAGTACCTCTGCCCGGGCAAATTTTCCCTATAGCACACTACACGGCGTATGCCCAGTTTACTAGCCCAGATGGAACAGGCAAGTGGCACGTTAAAAAAACCAACAACTCTATCAATGATTCTTTTATGCCCCCGGCAGACCGGGGTGGGGTCCTTACTGCGCTGTCCCCAAAAATTACAAACTTGAAAAAAGTCGAGTTCTCAGTTTTCCAGGCCAGATCGCAGAACCTTGGCGTTTGCTTTGAACATGCCCAAAACAAACATCGTGATTCGGTGATCATTGACGATCATGGAAACCACAGCACGATATTTGGCGTTTCCACCACGCTGTTATGACGCATGGCGATGTTGAAGAGCTCTGAGACCATTTTCCGTCGCCTTAGCAGCGTAGTAAGGACACCACGCAGGTCTGACGGGGTATTACGTGCAATCCAATGTCTACATGGGACCTCGGTTTTTCATATACGTATGTAATGGCTGACTAATATCATATAAAATAATAGGTGCTTTAAAAAATACAAATGGTTTATTAAAACTTCTATCAAAAATAATTAACAAAATTCAACAATTAAAAATTACAAGGTATTTATCATAATAATGCTTAACTGGGAACCACCCTGGTGACAGTTCTGGCGCTCTGGATTGTTCCAGAGTCTTTACGTCGACACATCTTATCAATCTTACTCACATTGGTTCAATATTAATTTAAATCCGAATACAATTATTTAATAAATAAGACAACAAAACAACTGCGTAAAAAATAATCTTCAGTTTTGTACGACCGAATTGTCTCGTTGGGAATCGAACCCGCGACCCCAGTAAATAACACAACAATATAATACATACAAACGTATATCAGACCCAGAGTTCACAAAGCATTCTCAGACTTAAGTTGAGAATTTACTCTAACTTGTTCACCTTATTTTAACTAAAGTATAGCCCTTTATATTAATTTTGTTGTTTGAATGTATCAAATACTAGTACATCAATAAGAAACTATGTGCAACGTTTTGTGTTTCTGCATCAAGGAAATTTCTCATAAACAGTGATTGAAAGTTGAGCCAATTCTCAACTTAAGTCTGAGAATGCTTTGTGAACTCGGGCCCAGACGTTTTTCAGCCACATGGTTTCAGGAATTATAGAAATACGAAATCGGAGGCCTCAGATTAAATAGGAGACATGAAAGAGGGTCTCCCCACCCCCCACCCCCCTCCAATACGCCAATCTGGTCAGCTAGCAAAATAAGTCGATAGAGTTCATTTATGAACATATGACTTTTATAATTAGTTACACACCAGGGGCCTGCTTCACGAAATTTTAACTAAGATAAAATCCAAATTTTAGTAATTTGATTGGATAATATTAGATTGATTTTAGTGCTTAGCCAATCAAAATTGAAGTATCTACTAAAATTGGATTTTATCTTTAGTTAAAATTTCGAGAAACAGGGTCCTGTTGATTAATGGCGAGTGTATTATTTGTAACCACTTTCTATGCATACTAAACACTAGTTTACATTAATGATCACTAATTAAATGATTAAATGAGAAAATGACCTCGCTTCATAATGCGAGCGGTATCTGTTTCACAGGGCCATTTATACGTAATACTAGAAAAGTCACGTGGAATGACTCATGAAAAAAAAAATTATATACATGTATATATCTTTTAAAAACCAGCAGCTCGTTTTGCTGAATAATACTTTACAATATTTACAGTACATTAAACATAAAAAAAATAATATGCGTCATTCTATATGACTTTCATAGTTTAAAGAGCCATCATGCAAGAGTTAAATATGCCTATTGCAGGTCTCTCTTTACGCCTTAAATGTTATATAAATCATTAATTAGACATTTATTAACATGACAAGACTATAATTAACTCTCGATGCCATCGGTTGGCTCCGATTTTAAGTAGATTAGAACGGTTTGGCTATTTAAATATTTAATTCAAAAATGGAGATGCGATGCCAAGTCTCGAATAACCAGCATCGTTGTTACGATAATAACAATCAATGCACTCATCTTGCCAAAACAACAAACATTAATAACTTAGCTCAGAATAAAGTAATCTGAATAAAATTTTCAATATATTCATTTTGCATTATCTATTTTTGAACTATTATAGCAATAACGGCCAGCCCTTTATTTAAATCTTACATAAAGCCTCTTTAAGGACCACGGGTTATATTGTGACGACACACCAGCTTTTCATTTATCATGTAACATGAACATATTCTAAACAGTAAATTTGTGATCTTTTCCTTTGAAATGTTATTTATTTTTTCTTTGTATTATGGGTCGATCTAGGTAATTTAAGACCCCTTTAAATATGCATAATTTGAGGTTTGCAGTTTTTGTAAAATAAATTATATACGGTCTACTGCACGTGGTCCTTTTGCAAAATACACAATAATAATCATGTCAACATTAAAGGTACATTATGTAAGAGCTAAATCTGTCAATTGCAGGTCAAATGTTATAATTACAAATTATTATTAGACATTTATTCACATGACAAGCCCAATATTCAACTCTCTCGATCATCGTATGTTGAATGGATTAGAACATAGGTACGTGCCATTTAATAATTTAACGTTAAACTGGATATTCGAGACTTTATTATCTTAGCAATATTACTTGCTAATCGAGACTATCTCGTCATAACCTCTAGCTAATATAATATACAATTGACTAAAGTAGAACACATGCCTAAATCCTCTTACAGAAAGCACTCGACAATACCAACGAATTGATAGCATCGTCGCTTTCGCCCAGAGACTCAACTTTGAACACATCATTGAAAGGGGTGCGTATTGCGTTCCATTAATGGCCTTTATGAAAGCAAACTAACCGATAGGAGTGTTACTCTCATCGATTACAGGAAAATTGTTTGCAGCTTAGAACTAAGGGCACTTTTATCTGTAACTGTCTGTTATCACTCTTACTCAGCCAGTAACAATACCTGCTTTCCTTTATTTGCGTCACTTCCCAATTCTTCACATCTATGTTACGGATCCGGTAACAAAGATCTCTGTGTTAAAATTGTAATTAGAATGAGTTTAACTAGTTCTATTACCTATGTAGTATTGGTGGACACCAATATTATCCTTTAGATATATATTTAATTCCTTTTAAAGGAAAGCAAACTAATTAATTTCACCGATCACACCATACTTTGACAGAGCGCGTCTTGCGTTATCTTAAACTCCTTTATGAAAGGAGCAAACACAAGTACTGCTGTCCGAGTTTCTAATCATTCACATTCGGCTATCACTCAGCATGCCACAAAACATGATGGTGGTTTAATTTAGTTCTACCACGAATCATAACACCAGATCACCCATGTCTTATTTTATAAAAATTGTTCCTCCGCACTATGACATCTGATTACAAAATTACAAAAATTGTTCCGTTATTTTCAAATCGTTGATAAATTTACTAACTTTCTAATGTGTATCCCTCGGCATCAGTTTTGGTTTAGGTGCAACTCTAGGTGCAACTTTAGGTAGGAGATGGGTAAGTTCAGGCCCTGGATCAGACGGGCGTACTTGTGGTTTAGGTCGTGGTGGGGGAGGGGCTGGTCGTACTGGTTTGGTAGGTGTGATTATACTCAAGGTATTCTCAACTGGATTAGAAAGAGGACATTCAGGAAGGGAAACTTGGCGTTTTGGTGGCAAATTCCATACCTCTTTATTCCGCAGATTTGCTCCTGATAGAGTCTGGTTTGTGTTGCTATCTGCACCTGGCTGGTCTGTAGATATTTGTTGTCCACTGATCATATTGTTTGTTGGTATTTGTTTTAAACATTGGGTGTGCACTAATTTTGGATGATTGTCTTCTCTGTCACCATTAAAATGGCGATAGCTTTCATACTGAGCAACGATTCGATGTTGAAGTTCTATTATTCGTTGGTTTATGTTCTGGGCTTTCGTTACAGACGGCTGTATTTGGTCTCCACTTTGAAATTCCTTAGTTGAATTGGATAAAGCCATCAGAGTGGCCCCGGTGTCACTGCAAGCTACTGTTGACGATGCGTTTGTGGATTCTGGTTCCTCCAATGCTGTTACCGGGGTCATTGGTGATTCCGAGGTTACAGCCTGTTCACCCGATGCATCAGTAGACGTTTCGTCGTTTGTTGGCATATTTTCATATCCACTCGTTACGGAATCGTCGGATGAAAACTGGGGGAGGTTTCCTGAAAGGGGATCAGCCTCAGCAAAAAATGTACCCGAAGACGCACTTGTCGAACTCTCTTCCGAGACCGCTGAAAGATTTCCGAGTCTAACATGTAGAGGTAGTCGACCTTTAATCGATGGTAATGGTGGAGGTTTTTGTTCATTAACTTGTGATGGTTCTGGACATGCATCGGCTGGAAAATAAACAGTTTCAAAGATTAACTTAGGAGTTCGTTTACAGAGTATATGTGTGTGAGAGTAAACATCTATAAATATATTAGTTTCTCACTATATATTATGGCCAAAACTAAATACTACTTAATGGAGGTGGCAATTGTAATATAGGACTGCTGCCCGCATACAATATCCCCCATAGCACACCTTATGGCGTTAGTCCGTCTTCATTAGTCCAATCAGTGTAGAAAAGTTGGACTTGAAACCCCATTTAATTTCCTTGTATTTCATTATGAAAATCAAAATTAAAATCTCTACTCTTCATCTTTAAAGTGTATCCCTCTCTCATTGGCTTTTACTGTTTCATCATTCGATTCACGCTCTTGTTGATCGAGTTTTTATTTATATATATCGGTCATTATGCCAGTGACGTATATATCTACGTCATAGGCTATGCGTGGCTAAGATTGGTCCCTGACGACCAAATCACCTACTTGGAACTAACCGGGAGCAGTTTTAAAGTATGCTCAACTTCTTTATACTGGTCGCAGATTGTAGTTGGGAGGACCAAGTCACGTTAGAAATTCTCGCAGTCGTCGACGCTTAATTCCAGTCCCAAGCGAGGTGTCCACAAGAAACGATGAACAGACAAGAGAGTGTCGAACTAAAAATGGTAATACCTTGTGTTTCAGTTGTGTTGGTACCTCGTACGACTTCATCATTATGCATCCCGGATAAACCCGTAACACCAGAATTCTCTGAAATGTTTTCTGATTCGTTAGTTTCTGCGTAATATGTTGGAACTATCTCTTCCACAGACGTACCTGGTACGGGTTGTGCTGGTCGGTCAGCTCTTGGTGGTAAGCCTGGTGGATTGTCTGTCATATCCCTCGGTTCCTGCACTGCAGTTGCGTTTACTGCAATTAAAAAAAAACGATTTGTATTTCACAGTTAATAATGAGCTCGCTGAATCGTTGTTGTTGTTAATCTGGACGTGTAGCGATACGGGTTTTCCAGTGGCCGACCGACATCTCGTATATAAAAATACATTGAAATTAAAACTAAAAGCTAAATACAGAATGCTGTCCGAATGCGGTCCTAAATCGATCATCATCTAATTTACAATCGACTAACGGTATGTAAAAAGGTAAGTGTCCTGTTGATAGGAAAGTTGTGGGCGATATTACTTCGGTGGAAGCGGACGTTATATAAAGATATTTCACACACTCTGAAATGTTTTCTGATTCGTTAGTTTCTGCGTAATATGTTGGAACTATCTCTTCCACAGACGTACCTGGTACGGGTTGTGCTGGTCGGTCAGCTCTTGGTGGTAAGCCTGGTGGATTGTCTGTCATATCCCTCGGTTCCTGCACTGCAGTTGCGTTTACTACAATTAAAAGAAAACGATTTGTATTTCACAGTTAATAATGAGCTCGCTGAATCGTTGTTGTTGTTAATCTGGACGTGTAGCGATACGGGTTTTCCAGTGGCCGACCGACATCTCGTATATAAAAATACATTGAAATTAAAACTAAAAGCTAAATACAGAATGCTGTCCGAATGCGGTCCTAAATCGATCATCATCTAATTTACAATCGACTAACGGTATATAAAAAAGTAAGTGTCCTGTTGATAGGAAAGTTGTGGGCGATATTACTTCGGTGGAAGCGGACGTTATATAAAGATATTTCACACACTTGACAGAAAATCACGGCGACTCAGTACGTAAGATGCTGACTACTAACCAGGAGGTTCAAAGTGTGATCGGTGTTGGCTAATAAAATTCATCGGGATTTTCCAGTCTGGTTTTATCTCCCCTTGTCAGTGGAAAGAGATAGAGAAATGGGGTTTAACGTCCACTCGACACAAACTAGGTCATTTCCAAACTAACATATAGTTCATTTTTCTTTCAATAATTCACTTGCGCGTAGGGTTCTTTAGCAGTGGGAGGAAACCGAAGGATCCCGAGAAAACCCACGAGGTTGGACAGGCGACCCTACTCCTTGTCACGTACAACCGGAGAATCGAAACCACACCATTTGACTCAATGACACACCTTATGATACAATGCGCACGCGCTACCCACTCCCCGCCGCGTCAGTGGAGTATAACAGAGTTCCTTGCAAGAAACCGCGTCTAGTCGTTCGGATGCCAAAAACCTAGGTCCCGTGAACACGTTGGCGTTCTCGTCAAAGAAATCTTGCCGGTGTGAATTCAAAAAAGTAGACGGAAGCGCTTTTGTCCGGGTACAATGTCCCACAAATCCCGACTGGTGGGGAATAGTAGGACGTTAAACCCCATTGCATTACATTACATAAACACTATATTAATACAAACCTGCGGCTTGGTTTAAAGTATTGGATACCATAATTTCCTCTACCAAGTTAAACAGACGCTCAATGTCTGAATCATCACAACCCTCGCTTAGGATATTCCATAACTCCTGGAACGACGGCATTGGTGTTTGATTTACAGGTCGTGGCACAGGCAGTGGGGGAGCAGTGGCACCCTGTACGGGATCTGGATCAGGAATTAATTCTGTATACGTAGCGTCTGTTGAAGGTTCTGCTATTGGTGTTGTTGGTGTATAATTAGTTGCTGGATTTTCCTGTAATGTTTGTGAGAAAATTTTTATTAATGACATCTAATTAAGATGATATTTAATATTTATATGTAAAACCAATACATGTAAGTAATACCCGTAATGCATACAGTTGGCTGAGAGAGGGAACGAGAAATGTTGCTATGGAGGTGGGCTTTGTGATAAAGGGAGAGAGAGATGGTGTGGCAGATGCCTGTCGAGTGTGCCTTATGGTTTAGCCGGGTAGTTATGCTCCGTACAGGTATTATATGATTATATATTTACGTGTAGAAATGTTATTGTTCCTGATGTAAATAAAGTCGATATGGAAATGAAATGAAATGGGGTTTAACGTCCTACTGTTCTGCTTCGATTTGGCTAATAAAGACGGACATACGCCATACAGTGTGCTATTAGGGAAATTTTACCCGGACAGCGGCGCTACGTCCTACTGTTGGCAAGGTAACGTCGCACTCACTGAGCTACCGTGACTCCCAAGTCAATATGGTCGTCTGTTTAAATAGTAAGTGTAGGAGGGCCACACCGCACGCAAAACAAAACCGACAAGACAAACCTGCGGACAAAACAAAACATAGACGTTGCAAGAAAAATCAAATCAAGTGAATGGATATAGTGTTATATTAATAGTATGTGAGCTTTATTACTGGAACGTATCATGTCGACGGATAATAGCGAACTCATGTCAGCTGTTTCAGAATGCACATATCCTGCTTCGTACACGGCATCCGTCATAATGATCAAAACAGGACACATGTACTAGTCTAGTATAATTTATAAGTGATCACCGTCCATGAGCCTTGGATCATAAGGTTCGTCACTGAGTCAAGTGACAGGATTTCGACCCCAAGTCTCAAAGTAATCAAGTAGTAGGGTTGCCAGCCCAATATCGTTGCCTTTCTCCTGGTCCTCCAGTTTCCATCCTCTGTCAAAAACTCTGCGGAAACAAATTATTGAGTTTGTTTTGAGGGGGCCTTAAACCCCAAAAGTGGAATATTAATAGCTAAATCTTACCCGTATCTGTCTCGCTCGATTTTTCTTGTAAATTTCCACAATCTGGGCAAGTTGTATGTTCTTCTTTAAACCACTGAGACCACGAACACCAAGAACAATTCTTCCTCGACATAAGGGGCAGTTGAAAACACTACTTCCTGTTTTAGGGGCAATGTTCTGCAGGCAGCCTCGACAGAACGAGTGGGGACAAGGTAGTTGAAGGGGATGTTTGTATAGTTCTAAACACACCGCACACGTTAGAGCCTCCTCCATGTTCATTGCTTCCAGAATAGTGAAGTCCTTTGAAGGACTTGAAGTATTGTTACCCATTCTGGCAGAGCTGGAAAATAAAAAAAAAATAACATTTATAGTTGATAGGCCAACGAAAGTATAAAAAACGAAACGAAATATAGATCTGTATTTTGATCGGACTGGACACCAACGGCATTAGATTGTCCCAGGTGTGTTTATGCTGGAAACCACCGCCATTTTGAATAATTTTATAGTTTAATCAAAACGAGGCATACTAAGTTAAAGGTAAGCCCAGTCGTTTTTAACAGTTTCTCCAAATACAAGCCTAGTGAACGATAACATTTCAGGCCTTAAGATGGACCTGCAATAGGCAGATTTAGCTCTTGCATAATATACATGTATGTTTAAGTGAGTAAGACGCTGGTGCGCTAGCCTGGGGTTCGCTGGTTCGCTCCCGGTGTTGGCCGCGAAAGTTAATCGAGATTTTCCGGCGTGGTTTCCCCTTGCCGTTGAGTGGTACAGGACGGACGGCCTGACAAGGACAGCTGTCTAGTTGATATCATATAAAATTTAACGCATCGATGCATCGGGAGCAAACATCGATGCTCGCGTCAATGTATCGCTAAATTAGACCGTCACCGAAACTCACTATTCGAACGAAAATTCTTTAATTTAAAGGGCGAATAGCCGTATCATTTGGAACCTTAAAAAAGACGAAAATGGTTTCACATTAATGTAATAATGAGTGTATGTCCATTTTAAAAAAAAAACAAATTGTAATTTCTTATCAATTATGTTCGGTGAAATACACGAACAGTTATTTGCGCCTGCTTAATCTATTCTACATTAGACATATTCGTAAATCAGCCATTTTTAATTACCTCGACATTGTCTTGTATGTTTTTCTTTGGTCATTACAAATGGTGCTCGAATACACGAGTCGTATAGTAACTTAAAAATGTTCATTGTGTCTTAAATATTGGATATAAGTATCCGGTAATATCACAGTAAGATAACAGCATCAATATTCATTGAAATGGGAGAGAGAGAGAGAGAAATGGGGTTTAACGTCCACTCGACACAAACAAGGTCATTTCGGGACTAACACATGGTTCAACCTTATTTCAATAATTCGCTTGCGCGTAGGGGTCTTTAGCAGTGGGAGGAAACCGGAGGACCCGGAGAAAACCCACGAGGTTGGACAGGCGACCCTACTCCTTGTCACGTACAACCGGGGAATCGAAACCACGCCAGTTGACTCAATGACAGACCGTATGATACAGCGCGCGCGTGCTAACCATTTGGCCATCCAACCCCCCTCATTGAAATGGACCAATATTGAATTCATTCTAATTCGTGTTTTTAATTTCCAATATTATTGATAATATTGAGTTTGAGGTTTAGTTTTTTAAAACCAATGATATAAATTTTGTCAACGTGTCTTTTAGTACCAACTATAATACATACTACTGCCTACCTTTGTTATGGAATTCGATAATATATATATATATATATATATATATATATATCCCTTTTTGTGAAGACAACACATTTTTATTTGATCAAAAAAGCACAAGAATGCGATAATTCATCTATGGTGCGCCTAAAAATGAAATTCAAGATCAACAAATATAACCAATCCATTTATACCAACATAATCTGATATATTTATACCTAACGTCATGTATTATAAATATTCACATATAACCATTCATAAGGTTAACCGTTGTGGGCACAGTGAGGGGTTTAAACGTACAACAGACTCTGCGATTAAACAGCGGAATGAAGAGATTGACAGAAGATAATGCAAGAATTCACTAAGGCTTCGATATGTATGGTAAATGGACAACAAGTAACGAAAAATACAATCTGTGAATGGGTCCTCCCCCAATCAAGTTACATGACAAACAAGTCTGTACGGTGAAGACTAGGAGGTTCTGGGTGACCGAGACTACGGCATGAGGTAGTTTTTTCCGATTTAAAAGTTTTTAGAGTAATATGAACTAAACATTTGATAGATAAAAGTAGTTTGAATATTTTTTAGTTTCGATTCCCAGCCTGTAAGAGCCAAGGAGTGGAGTTGCCTGAGATTTTCTCCGGGTCCTCCGGTTTCCTTCCACTGGAGTTAACAGGGCATAATAAATCTAATAAAGATTTGGGGAAATCACCTTTTGAGATATCACGTCCAATGATATTTGACAGATATTTAAAGGCTCAATACCACTCTTGTTGTAACTGAATAATATGTCCTAATCTTTATTCTGGTCAACAAATTGTACTATTTTAGAATATTTCAATTAATTGATGATACAAATTTCATCTTAACACACCTTATTTAAATTTTTTGAAATATTCAACATAACGGTTTGAAACGTCTAACGTAAACCTTTTCAAATGAAACTTCGATTTAAAAATATTTTCGAACCCTCTGGACAAGTAAAATAGGATGTAATGGATAATTTACACAACAGATAGGACACTTAAACATCTAGTACTTAGATAGAGATATTATTTATTTTCTGGAGCTTTCAAGCCAGCAAGAGTGTTATTGTCCCTTTAAATGAAGCACAGGGTCTCTAACTAAACACGACGTTATTCTCTTTCAGAACTAAGGGGGTAAAGTGGTCTAATGCAGCTGCTTTAGATTATAGGGCCTGCCATTGAGTCAGGTGGCATGGATCGATCCCAAGCTTGTACGTAACAATGAGTAGGGTCATATGTGTGTAGTCGTGTGTCGTGATGACCCACGTTACTTCCTAGTAGAAGGGTGTGTCAAAATATAAACCAATGGCTAAAGTTCTATACGAATGAATGCGTGTAAAAAACTGTGTCTTGGCTTGTGTACAATTACTATGGGTCCGTTAATAAACCCAAAACCCCACAAATTAGGGAACCGCGGTCGCTCAGAGAGTAAGATGCTGTCTCTCTACCCGGTATGAATCGTTCGGGTTCACTTCAGGTGTTGGCCCAGGAAGTTCCTCGTGATTTTCAGGCGTGCTTTACCTTTGTCAGTGGTGAAAGATGGAATGTCTTGTCGTTTATTATATAGGACGGAAACCCGAGAACCGTTTCAAATATTGGCGTGCAAGTAAGAGAAACCTTGACACGTAAGAGTAGAACGTAGCACCGCTGCCCGGGAAAAATGTCCCTCATGGCACACTTTATGCCGTATGCCCAATCGGGGCAGAACAGTAGGACGTTAAATCCCATTTCATTTCATTTCAGTATTTATAAAGATAAGATGAATTGAAAATTTGTCAACATTCGGCATCTACTGTAGTCATCTATGTTTGCCCAAAACCTTTTGAAGGGCTTCTTTTTTAAATCCAAGCCGGGAAATTATCTACCCTGGATATTTTGCTTCTGTTTTCGTAATAAAATACCAAACAATGAATTTAAGTAAATCTTAGGGTGGATTAAGCGTGGAAAATTTTATATTTTCAGAAAAAATGCTAATGACGTCTATATTGATCATTCTATTGCATTAGGGCTTTCAATCTAGAATACTATTTTTGTTATCGATGTGTTAAGGGTGTGACGCGGTTCATTTGACCTTTGTACTCACCATTATGCAGTTAATCCGCGGACAAAAGACGTCGCCATTATAAAATAATGACATTATGTATTGTTTAATGGTCGAGAGCGAGACATTAAGTAATATATTGTAACAACAATATATTACAATATATTACAATATATTACGCAATGTCTCAGCTCGAGACCATTAAACATCTTAAAATACAGACACTCCGCACGTGCGTTTACAGTGAAATACGTCACCCGAGTCTAATATTTGACAAGGTACGATTGGCAAGTTGCCCGTACGATTATTTGAAATAATGGTGCGCCAACATCAAAGGGTGACGTCACATCTGTATTTTAAGGTTTGTTAACAAGCCAAGGTTGTAGATGGCTAGCTAATATCGAACAGTTTATACTTTTAGAGTTAAAAATTTTAGAGCTATGTTGAGTTCAATGTAAAATTTAAGGAGCAATAGTAATTCCTTATTTTCTGTCGAACTGAGACTTTTAATCTATAACGTTATTTTCAACCAAGGTTGGGTTCAATAAACTGAAATGAAATGAAATGGGGTTTAACCTCCTACTGTTCTGCTCCTACTGGGCTAATGCTAATGAAGACAGGCATACGCCATACAGTGTGCTATGAGGGAAATTTTGCCCGGACAGCGGCATAACGGCCTACTCTTATATCGAATTCAAACTACCAGGGGATCTTTAACTTGCACTCCAATGTGTACTTCGGACCTTGGTTGTTAGTCTCATCCTAACGACTACACATACGTAGGTCCTTGCCAGGCGGGAACCACGCCGGAAAACCGGAAAACTTTCTCGGCCAACGCAGAGATCGGTTCCATAAACTAGATAATCTGCCCAAAAAGCTTAAGGCTCCAGAATTTCGGGTGCGATTGACATGAAACTTAGTGTGCTAGTTCTTTGTTCAATAGCCTATCGATTGACGGACTTCGTTTTCCAAGATGACCATAATGGTCGGTTCACAACACAGTTGTACTTATTTTATCGGTGTTATAGGAGTGGTGTGATTCCACTGTACTGAATAATACAATAACATACATTTAATAAATCATGGATAAAAAACATCGTCATTATAACAAAATGACATGGCTTGTCAACAAGTCAAGGTTGTAAATGACTAATATCGAACAGTTGATTGAACACAATATAAACAAACTTTCACAGCGTTTGGAGGCCACGGTGAATCAGTGAGTAAATCCGTGGTCACATCTTACGGTCACGCACGTAGTAGTTGACCGTAGTTCATTTAAACATCGGCCACCGTCGTGCCATTTTGGTCAACTAGGTCGATGTAGGTTCAAAATTACCAAAAAAAACCCTACAGTGTTCGTAGTTTAAAGTTACAATTTCATATTTTCTAAGAAAGTCAAAACATAATTATTTGTATGTCTTTTGCTCAATAGGTTGTCAACTCACTATTATACGATCTTTCTCGCACTTAAAAATCTTCACACCGGAAATAATAACACAATTACCTCCTTTGTTTTCCTATTCCCCACCATGGAATAGCTAACTTAAAACGTTTAAATTTGA